GCTTATAATATTCTAACTTTTCTAAATCATCAATTGATATCTTGGTAGGTTCATTATCATCGATACTACCAAATGCATAAATATCTAAATAAATTTACACCTCAAAATGAGGCATATTAACAGTTATAATTTTTTCTATTTCATAGCATTAATAATCTATAATAATAACCTATGATCCCTTATTACAACTATAGATTTTCGAATTACCCTAGCTTGGTAGATTGCATTACCAATCTGCAGGTGATGAAATTGATTTTGAATTAAAGTTTTCATAAAGCTATTCTTTCTGATAAGCAATACTTATAAAATAAAAAAGGGAAAGCCAATTCAAGTACATTTTTTAATATTTTTAAATATAATTTTTATGGATTTAATTATTTCAGAATTCAATCATGAAAAATTTGAATGTTATTAATGAATTTGAAATGTATTTTTAACATAATACCAAACCTGATGATATATGATTAATTTGTCAAATATACTTGATATCCTTGAATAATATTATCTATTTACAATAATATTGTGCTATTTTATTGGTGACAATTCGATAATCATAAATAATGCCCATTAAACATAGAAGCTTTTCAATGTTATATTACAATAAATTGATCAATTATTAATTTTATATTTCTACTAAAACATATTGAATCAAGGTAAGTATGCTTAGTTTTCAAAATACTACCTTAAAATTTTATTAAAATTTAAATGTTTGAGTATGCTTTATTAAATGGAATAACGCGATTTTCACCAAAGTTTAATACTAAATCTGCATTTTGTTAAGACCATAAATTGGAGAGCATTTCGGATGTTCCATTTTTTTTAATCCATTTATCGGATATTAGATCAAATTTTAATCCTTTATTTTACGAAATACATTATTTCATAAATTAAAATTCCTTAGGAGATATTGGATTTAATTAAGGTAGTTATAATGAGGATTATTCTTATATAAATTAAAAGACGGCAAGCTATTATAAATAATCCTAAAGAATTTATTTATTACAGCTCATGAGCGATTCAACATCTATGAAACAATTCATGATGCTACCATCTCTCTTGGACGGGTTCATAATTAAGATTGTATTTATCGATTTAAAGGCTTTTTCCGATTTGTTGCTTCTGATTTATTATTCAATATTTGTAAGTTATATTTATTGATTGGTTATAGCTTTGACTGATTCTTTTTAAAGTTTGTGCTGTTCTTTAAAAGCATTGAATTTAATTCAACTTCTTTTTTCTCTCTGATTTTTATAGTTCGATTTTAGCAACTAAATTGAGGTGATCTGAGTAATCTGTCTCATAAACATTATGATGGACTGATGAATTTTAGTTTACAAGTATACAGTTTGTTTTACTCTTAACTTCTTTTTATTCTATAATTATTTTGAATTTGTACTATTAGATTGGAATAACATCCTTCATGAAGGGCATTAAATTTTTTGGATAAATGGTATCACCACAAATTATAAATAATTCTTTTCCATTTGCTTATATGACCTTTAAAATAAAGTTTTCTAGAGATTGTTTTGATTTTTAATAATACTACTTTAAAGGTGAGTAAATAGTATAAATAATCCTAATCGTTAACCTGTTATGTGAATTAACAAGTATTCTAATAACTCATGGACCTTAGGTCGTATATTAGATATATTCTTGGAAATGAATTGCTTATGAATCCCAACCGTTATTCCTCCTCCTCTTTTTGGATTGTGATTTCTGAGTTTGTTATAATATGTATATGAGGAAGAATTTGTAACTTCTTTTCTTGTTTCCCGCAAATATAATATATGTGCTCCTTTTAGTTTAGCTTCATTAAGAGTTTCTAGTGTAATTGAAGAGACGTTTACAAAAGTATAATTAATTCATTATTTGGAGTTTTTGATTTTATATTTTGTGAGCATGTGCTCGCTTTAATACTCATGCTTTTGTTTGATGTGTTAGCATGTAAGCACCCATTAACTGCTTTGGCCTTCAAAATTAACTTTTATTTCCATTATGTTTTCTTGTAGTGTGAATTCTTAGGGCTTAATCATTTTTGAATATTTCAAAGCATATCATACTTCCTTACCATTTTCTATCTTATTTTGATCTTCTTCTATTTTCTCATCATTTCCTTACTATCCATCTCTTTAAGTCTATTTGATGCTTTATTTTATAACATATATCAATTTTTTTATACTTATTCTCAATCATTAATTTTTAATTGAGCATCTTCATAAAATTAACAATTTTTATTCTGATTCCTTACTATTTAATTTTTTTTTGAATATTATTATTAAAATTGATAATAACAAATTCAAGGTATTATTACTAAATAAACCAATAAGAATTTTTAATACTTCTATCAATTATTTTTATTGATTCATTGGAATACATTTGCATAAAATAGATAATATTTATGGTGAAAAGTATTTCCTTTTGAGAATATAATGGAATTTTTAGTGAAACGATTTTTACTTATGGATAAAAAGCACGAAGTAATTCAAAATTCTTAATGGTTTATGCTATTTATATGTAAATTCAAGTCCTCTTTTACAATAAGACTTCTCGCAAACATTTTGAAGTAGCTTATAAAAAAGATATTTTTCAATAAATTATTCTACAGAGAAAATAAGTCTCCAAATATTAATAAATCTACATTTTTTACCATTTATAGTTTTATCTAAAATAGATCAATTAGAGATTTAAAAAGCATTAGATTACTACACGATACTTCTGATATTAAATTAAATTAATCATTCTTATTTTTATTGAAATTAAAAAAGATGTTTTTCAGAAAAACAAAACAATTATTTCAAGACATTAAAATTTAAGGAATAAAATTTATAAAATAACTAAATCTTCTTTTCAATACCATCCGAAATTACAACCAAATTCTAATTCGAACTATAGTTAGAGTAAGTAAGATTTCTCAAACCAAAAATTTTCAACATATGTGATATTAACTAAAGGGTTACTTATTCCCTATCAATATAATTTTAATGAAATGGAAAAATTAAAGAAATTATTCAAATTCTATCTAGTTTGCTTTGAACTAAGTCTTATTCTTAGTAATTCTCAATGTAATTTTTTGAATCTTGGGTAGTGAAGTCTCCCAAGAAAATAATTTATAGGGCCAGAAGTGCAATAAGCCAGAATATGATTTCAAGTATCTCTCTGAAAGACTCAGAGGTTGACTAAATAATCTGAAAGACAAAGAACTGTTTCAAAAAATTATGAAAAAGAAAGAAAATTTTCTGATGAATCTTGACTCAAATTAACATAACAGTTTATAATGTAAATAAAAGAAATAAATAGTTTATATAGCTAATTTGCTAACAAAATTCTGTTTTATAACTAATCCTGTAACCACAATAAAACTAGAAATGATTATGGATCTATATTTTTTCTTGCTCTTAGAAGATAATAATATTCCTTTCAGGCTGTTTTTGATAGTTTGTGTACTCAAAATAAATCTACTTTTTTTCTTTTATTCCATACTTAATATAAGTTTTAGTTTTTATTTATCAGTTTGTTCTATTCTTATGAAGAATTGTAAAATATATTTCTTAAAATAGTATATTAAAAATTAATTTATTTAATTGAATTGGGTTGGATTGATAAGAAGAAATAATTTGAAAAAGAAAAAGGATCAAATCTTACAATATAATATAAGGTGGATTAAATATAGCTGTTAAAATATTTTTTTATTTTAAAAGAATTTTGGATTAATTTAGGTTTCGGAAGCAATTTTTAAATCATAAATACAGTGCAAAATTAATAATAGAAGAAGAGTAGTCCATAAAAAGAGGAGAGTTTATTTCTTTTTCATTATAAAATTGTCTATTTTCTATATATTTATATATAATAGAACTTGTTAATACCATCTTTAACTATCTTAGTTGCAATAAAGTATCTATATATGTTTAAGTTTGTTAATCCATTTAAAACAATATTTCAGAATTAACATCCATTATGATTTTGTATTTGATCTATCATACTCCTTTGCAGATTAAAAGAGAAGTTTTTCTGAAATATCATTTCTTTATGTTTTTGTGATCATTTTATCCTAAATTGAACTAATGAGGAGGAAACTTTGATGCGATTTTTTAAATAAATCTAATGAAAAGGCAGATAATTATATTTAATAGTGGTTCCCTTTAATGCCCAATTTTATCTGCCTATATTTTAAGGCTTTAACGTTTTGCAATCCAAGATTCAATTTTACTTTTGGACTATTAATGTAGTATGATTCTTATTTTTAATAGCCTTATTATTAGGAATTTATCTTTTTCTTCTATTAATTGATGTAAAATATTATTTTTTTTAAAAAAAAAGATTCAATATATTCAAATGCCT